TCTCATTTTCATCTGTGGCCTAACCCCAAGGGGCTCCAAAGGCAGGATTCAACTTTTTGTTCAATTTTTTAGGTTCTGCATTAAAATAAATGGCTTGACAGGAAATGTCTTAAATTTAGTCTAAAAATCTGTTCCTACTTGTGGAGGTCAATTGCAGCAGAGACTACGCAGTAGCACTGATTGTCCAGATGAGCTTCATTAGCTGCTGAACCTACTTGGTTTCTCTTACACACCTCAATATGCCGTTTACTGTGTGGCTTGTTTTGCTAAGCCAAATTTTGTCAGTTTGTCATCATAGTTTTTAATTCTGTTGGGCTTTTTTCTAATGTCAGGTTACCTTCCTGCACCCTTTCTGTACGTTGTTCTGTTAAAATATTGATTCAGAATAATTTTGGTGAGTTAGGCATGGGTGTAAAAGCATGTCAGTAGGAAACGTATTTTTTCTATTCCACAGAAAGCTCATCAGCCAGGCATGCTTCTGTCAGTGTTAGAATTCTGCATTGTTTGACAATTTAGTTCTTTGGAAAAGCTAATTAAAGATGGATGCTCTAAAAAAACAAAAAGAATAAGGAAAAGAGGAGGAGGAAAATTAGCAAAGCCCTAAGGTTAGTTCTTGTCCATTCTTAACAGGAACCTCAGATATTTTCCTGACTTTACTTATTCAAGGTGTCTTTCATGAAATAATTATCTTCATAATTTCACACAAAATACACATCTTTGATCTAGCTATCTTTTCCAATGATAAATTTTGAAGTAATACTCTATTTTAATTACCAAAAAGTTTAAGCATTTCTTTTCAAAAGGGGAGCAGTTTCTTCTTAATTAATATGTGGTTTTGCTACAGATGATATTATGTATTACATGATGATTATCTCACTTTCTTAGTGCTCCTCTGAACAGTATTGCATCTGTGTACCACTAGTAACCTCTCAGTACATGTGCACTTAGACCCTTTCCGTAACAGTTGTGGTAACAACAAAAAAATTACATAAACTTGCAAAGGAGTTGCTTAATGGTATGAAGTGTTCTGGTTTCTACCAAAACCCCAATTAGTTAATTTTGTGCCCTTCCTGGCCTACATAAATTATGCAACCCTTACATCTCAACATCAGTGAATTATGTAGCTCTTCTCACACATCAATTAATTTTGGCCCCATCAACTTCCCACCTTCTGTGTGCTCCCAGCCTCAAATCAATTTTGCATCTCCCAGCCGCGAGCAATTAATTTTGTACTCCCAGCAGCTCATATCTGCCTGAACCTGCAGCCCTGCTTCAACTCTTCACCCTCCCCCATCTGCCTCTGCTCCTGCCCAGCCAAGCCACTGCCTTCTCCTGCCGAATTTGTCCTTCTCCAGCTCACAGCAAGGATCAGTCCCAGGCAGCTTCACCTCCTGCCTCACCAGCCAGCACTGCATCCCAACACACCCATGGGCAGCAGGGCTGATCTGGAGGTGACCTGGGTGGCCTTGTCACTCTCTTGATTTTCAAAGTGCGAATTGCAAGACTGAAGCTCCATCTTCTGGAATGGCCTGTCAAAGTCATGGTGCGCTTGGAGCAGCCACCCCCAAAACCCTTCCAGTGGGGAAGCCTGCATCACATAACACCCCACTGAGAAGAGAAATAGCTTCCAGGTGTATAAGAAAAGCAACGCTGAGGAAAAAGGTGGTGCTGGCATTCATCAAACTTAGCACTGCTGCCAGCAGCAGAAGTAAGTGTGACCTGGGCCTCGGTGTTAAAGCTGACACTGATACAGGTGTCCCCATTAAATGCCACAGTAGGCTTCTCTAAGCAACCTAGGAAGACCTTATTTTCTTCCAGAAGAAACTTCAGTGTGCAAAACTGCCAACCCCTATGTGCAGCTCTGGTCTGAGTCCTCAATTATTTTCCAAAAAGGAAAAGTATCTCCATGAGAAGTATGTAGAGACCAAAAGCCCGAGAGGGCAATGTGATATCCTGCAAACCAGAACGGCCTTGACGTGCTATTGCTTGATGGTTGCTTTCAGACCAGGAGGCAGCTGGGCAGCTCTGCATCCCACTTATGGTCTTTAACCAGGGATTTGCCTTCTAGTAATGCAGGATGGGTCAAGACAGGCCCCTTCCTCACCATCTCCCTCTGTATTTAGTTCCTCAGGAGCATAGAGGGGAGGGTCCAGCAGCTTTTGCCAAAGGGACAAGGGTGGTGACACCAGAGTGAGGAGCAGTCAGGCTGCACCCAGGGTCACCCCATTTTCCATCCAGCTGGACTGTCGGGAGGGTTGGGGAAGAGCAGCTCTCAGTTCAGTCTCCTTTTCTCTCTGGGAGCTGGAAGGAATTTAACTCCTCTCCCAAGTGGGGTTACAGATTATTTTCTCTCCTCTCCTTTTTGTCTGTGTCTGTGTAAGCAGCAAGCTCCTCAGAGGCTGACTTGTGCTTTTCTTGTACGATTCCCAGCACATCTGGCCGTCTCGGGTAAGGTCCCTAAGCCTGATTGTAGCAAAAAGTAATGATAGTGTGTTTAAAACTTGGGCCTCCAACTATAACTATATATAAAACACAAAACATTTGGGACAAACTGAAGGAAATACAGTTTTTAGTAACTGAGCAAAATAAATATATATTCACTCTTTTACATCTGCAGTTGTGCTTTGCATGCGTGAGTGCTCTGACATTGTGTTAGAAGCCTGTATCTCAGAACTGAAAGCCCATGCAGTGCAGTGTAGTGCTTGCTCCCAGCTGGTTGGCATCAAACATTTTTTCCTGTCTCACTTGTACAACAGCCATGGTCATTCATCAGCGTGAAGCTAAGCTGGCTCTAGAAAATGTTCGAATTATCTAGGTGTCCTGATTAAACCTGCCTTGATTTAAGAGGCACACTACTGTACTCCTGTGAACATTTGTTATTTCTTCAAGTAATAGAATTAGCTATCAGCATTTCCTTAAGAACATGCAGAACACAACTGCAGTATAATTCCTCTCCCTCCAAGCCTAGTCTTGAAAATGCAAATTTCTCTTTCAAGTGTGTTGGCAAAAAATGGCAACATCCTGATGCACAGGTGATTTAGACACTGAATTACACACTGGTTGAGTTATCATCAGGGAGTTGAGTTCTTTGGGGAATCTTTGAGTTCTTTTGGGGTTCTTTGGAAGTGGTGTGGAAAGTAACACAGTCTGCTGGGGAAATATCAGCGGATGGCTTGTTTCTTGCTGTCTTTTGTAGGGATCCAGCACTGGCCACTGCCATGGACAGTGCACAGGGCTGGATACAGGCCTCTCATCTTCCTAGTACAGCCTTGCTGTAACCTTACAGAGCTCGATGCAACAGACCACAGTGCTGTGCACTTTCTCCTGAGGGTTTTTGTGTTCTGTTTTAAAAATAACAAGACATCTCTTAATATTCAGGATACATTTTTCCACTCTGAAGCACCACAACAGTCTTTTTAAGGAAACTTTAGGAAGGGTGTTAACTTGATCAATGCTGTGCAGGAAGGAAAGCTCTTTCCTACTATTTTTTCAGCATGACTTTCACTGGCATGATCAGGCTGGGAAAAGACTTACTGGCTGATAGCCCAGGACAGCCATGCAATATCTCTAGTCATCTGGAACTCAAGCTACTCTGCCCAGGGGAGAGCCATAACGTAAAAACAATTTAGGTTACATGCTGAATCATATAAACATTGTTCAGTTTTTAGAAAATAGTTTAAATACTATTTATGTGCATTGGCTATGCACAGGTTTGGGGGTTTTTCAAATGGCAAATAAGAAAGGCTGGGATGGGGTTTGCTTTTTTTACTGTAGACAGTTTTCAAAAAACTTGGCTATTGTTAGAAGTATTAGGGACATGAACTTCCTCTCACAGATTTAAGAGCTTGGCTTCCCCTATGTATCGGATATAATTGTTTTATATATAGATAATGTTTGCTTTTTGACCCTGTCCAGAAAGCACAGTGACAGGCATGCTGGTCTGGTCAGAGGGGGCTCCCAGAGGCCCTGGGGCCCCCCTGCTGCACAGTACAGGACTGTCCACCACCAGCACCACATCGGAAGGGCTTCGCTTCATCAGGCTAAGCTGCAAACCCCCCAAGAACAGAGTTTCTGCAGCTGTACCGCTGACCTGCACCGAAGCTGCACTTCTACAGATTTATTTCCACCCCATTCAGCCTGAGCCCTCCATGCTACCCTTTGTGGCCATTGTCCCCTCTTAACGTTTTTTGTTACTGCTGCCCAGAGTTTGTTCTGTCACCCTCCCACCCTCCCCAGTGTATGTATAATCTGAGTAACCCTGGTAAACCAAAGCCCAAGGGCCAATGTATGTGTATGGAACTGAAAAGTTGAGGCCTTAGCCTCTGACTGTATTAATCTGTGGAGTTTTCAGTTGTCTTGTGGCACAAGAGAAGGAGAAACGAGGATACTTCCAACAGTTCAAAGCTGATACTAAAATGTATTAATTATAGTGCTTTTGCAAGTCTGTGGTTTTTTTCTCTCCCTTTTTGAAACTATTACTGGCCTCTGTTGTTACTTTATTTTGCATAAGATCCTGCTAGAGTAAAATGCTCCTTGGTGAGCATATGCAGCTCTTAATAGCTTGGGATAACTCAACATGAATTCAGTGTGTAAGTTTCACTTCATAACCCTTTTTTTTCCCTCTTGTCTTAATTGAATACCTGAGATTGGGATGTGTCCATTGCCACCTGTCCTGCCAAGTCCTAACATTCCAGCACACCTTGCAACAAGCCTAAAATTATTATTTTAGGAAAATGGCTATGGTTCCTTATGATTCCTTTTTTCCATAAACTGGTATTTCACAAGCTGAGTAGCCTTACTGTCTTTTCAGCGACTGGTCCATTCTAACAGAAGAGATTAACCACTCTCACGCATAGCTTGGTTATTATTGTGCAGCCTCTTGCTTTGCTGAAATTGTTGGTTATTTGGTGGCATTGTTGTTTTTAATTGAGTTGTCATTTTTACTTTCTTGATGTGATGTGCCATGTGCCATAACTTTTCCTCTGGTGCTTTCATTGCAGGCCTTGCTGAGACCAGGACGAATAGATAGAATTATCTATGTGCCATTGCCAGATGCAGCCACTCGTAAGGAGATCTTCAAACTTCATTTTCAGTCCATGCCAGTCAGCGATGAAGTCTGCTTAGCAGAGCTTGTTCAGCACACACAGAAGTACTCAGGAGCAGAGGTAAAACTTTTGGAATGGTAATTGCCACAAAGTTGGTGCACAAAATTGTGTTTTCAAAATTGAAATCAAGTATCGACCAGGTATCATCTTTTAAGTCTTCTCAAAGTGATGGGAGGAATTATGAAAAGGAATGTTTGTGAGATTTCTATGTTTCTGCATAGAAAACAATAGAGTCTGGGGCTTTTTTCCTTCAAGATCTCCATCAGATTGTTGCCAGGGGGACGGCCTCTTCCAGGGAGAGCCATAGTACTATCATGGCTGGCCTCATTAAGGATGTGTTGCCCTGAGATGTGGAGGGAGGTGGAGGCAAGTGCCCCCAGACTGCCCAGACAGTTCCCCTGGGTCTCTCCACATCCCTGGGGATCTTTTTTGCATTGAAGATTGTGACTGAGAGCCTCAGATGCAGGGAGGATTGACAGAGTTATGATATGGTGTAAGGGAATTGCAAGGAAGTCACTGGTCACTTTGAAGCTCATATTTTCCTATTCTATATAATCAAGACATAATACACAGGAGCACTTACTGTTATAGCTCGTTGCTATTGGTCAGCTTCTGACAATGGACGTCAGACAATTATTTCCTGTCCATGGTAGAAGGAGAAGCTTTCCCAGGTACTGATGCCTGGCAGTTAAAATAAGTATTGTTATGTTAGTGGTCATCACTCTGCTCTATGAATATTATTCATGTCAGTGTCTCATGAAAGAATATTTCATTCTTTTCTCATTTTGATTCGTTGAAAGGAATTAACATTGCTTCAAAAATTCGTAATGTTACGAAGGTTGCAAATTTGAGCTCTTAAATGGTATGAAATACCAGAATTAAAATTTCCACCTTCCTGTAGCCTAGTGTATGCATTATCATACCATCTTCAGTTACATAGTCACCTTCTGTTTTTTCCATAGCAGAGTGGAAAATGAAATGTGCTTCCCTCAGCTCCCCATCTTTCTGTGTGCTGTTTACAAGGGCAGAGAAATAAGTTAAACTTTTGTCTTGGCTCACAAGAGAAGGTAACTGTGGAGTGTGTGATTCCTATAATGCTGAAGGCTTTCTTGACTAGTCATTGGATATGCTCCCAGGCAAGACTTTTGCTCATTTAGCTATCACTATAAATTCTGGTACGCTGTAAAATCCTGCATTGCGTACTGGCTGATGGGGGCACTGCTGTTAGTGCTGCAAGTCCAAGGGATGGGGTCCGACCTTGCCAAATGCAGCAGCAGCAGGGCTTGGCGAACCTCCAGACTTGTTCTGGGAAGCTGTGTCACAGTGGACACCAAAGTCAAACCCGCAAGAGCTTTCCTCCTCCACAGCACAGGACAAACTGTGCTCTGGGAATGGATGAATGAAGGCTGTGTAGTGAGCAAAGCTGTTCTGTGTAGCACATCTTTTTGCCACAGAATGTGGGAACTCAGAATGAACAAAAGGCAGTAAAAAAGGATCACAGGCTTAAATGTCAGTCTGGAAAATTGTCGCAGCTCTACTGCCTCCATGCTTTGGAGTAGTGACGCAAAACAGTACTATGTTTTTACCTGGATGTCAGTGATGCTGCCCTGGCAGAATATATCTGCCTCTGGATGAGTTACAAGCCTCCAAAAGCATAAATATAAGCATATTTTCTGTTGTGTATGGAAACTGTCTTCTTACCAGGCAACAACTATAATGCTTGTATTTTAGAAATTCCAAAGATTTCCTTTGAATCTGGATCAGCTGAGGCTCTAGTGGTGAATTCCTGTGCCTACTTGATAATTAGTCACAAATGTCTTGGTGCTGGCTTTGTACATTACCAAAAATAAGTTAATGGGTCATTGAGTGCAGCTACAGACTAGCTGTGACGGCGAGGAAAGCCTGCCTGTTTCCAATACATCATTTCTCATGAATTCTGTTCTTTCACATCATTCAAAGAGTTATAATAACTGAGATGTAAAGAGTAAATACAGAAGAAGCCTCAGTCAGTGGTCTTTGGAAGAATATTTTAAGTCTTGACAGTTGGCACGCACAGCGGCCAGTTTCATTAAAACCTTTTCTTCCTAGTGTCTCCAGCTTCCCAGCTTTAGAAATAGTTTCCGCTGTTGAATGGCAAGTTCCCATTCTACTGTTCTGTCCTTTGTTCAGAAAAAGAAATGGAAAATGCTTGGGTTTGTGACTAGAAGATGTTATATGAATAAGGAGTTACATGTAAAGATGCATTGAATCATCCTGACATGAGCTGAATAAACAGCAAGTAAAGTGGATAGTTCAGTATATGTCTGGCTTCCAACCTGGCCCTTTTTCAGATCAGATATTTGTGTATTTTTACCTGTCGTCACTGATGACCAGTTATCTCTATTCACCTGCTGGATGTACGTTTCTTTTAATGAGTATCTTTAAAGATATATCAAGATAGCAAAATAGGGTGATTACTTCCCACTGCTGCACATGAGAGAAGATTCAAGATAATTTATGAGGGTTGATTGCAATTTCCTTCTCTAGTGTGTAAGGGAAGTTTAATATATTAAAAAAAAAAGGTGCATTTACATTTTTAGTGTAAGAAAAAAAGTAATGTCTGTACAATTAGTTTTTATTATGCTAATAGTATAGATCAAACAGAGTCTCAGTTGAAATATTTGGGTTTGAGTTTCATCTTCATTACCAGGTCCTTCTGAAACAGTGTTCTGCAGCAGTGCTTGAGGCTGTTCTTCTGCATCAGTATATCAGGAAAGTAAGAAATTGTCTATAGAAGTTTCTGAATGGCAAGGTTCAGCCTCCAAGCTGACGTTAACACCAAGGATCATTCTTCCTCCCTCTGAGGCAACTTCTTTGGCTGCATGTCTGCCCTGAAGGCATTTGTCTGTTCCCAGGAGCACCTCAATCTCTTTTTTGCTGAGCTGGTGTGACTGAACCAAACACAGGGTAGGTCTGGTTGCTGAAAGCACAGTGCTGCAGTAACCATATGTCTCCTTTGCTCTCACACGCAGACCAGCAGGTTTCACTGGTGTGGCAGAAGAGCCATCAAACTGGGACAATACTCTTGCATTTGTCCCCAGCTTTTTTTCCTGGGAAGCTTATACTGGAGGCCGTGCCCAGGCAGCTGATGCTTGGCATGGTTCAGCAGGAGAGTGGGCTGGGCTGTTCTGCGCTTCTGGCCTCACTGGCACTTCCAGGTGCTGCAGCATTAGCAGGGAGCGCTGGTAGGCACAAAGAGGTCTCTAGGTCTTGAAAGTAATAAAAACGGTTGAAACAAGTGCAGTCCTGCAGTGAAACTTTTATAAGGTTTATTCTAGTGTTCCTGCATTTTATTTTGTGGCAAAATTGCAGGAGATTCAACTTTTAGAAAACTGATGATTTTTTTTTAATGCTTTTATATAATTGAGATGTCTTTACTCAAAGATTAATTGAATTATAGATTTTTTCTAGAGCATTTTCACTGTTGTACCTATGCTGAAAAGTTTTTCTGTTTGATTTCTCGCTGTGCTTTCTGTAGAGTGCACTGAATTAAAGATCCAGCCGCAGAAGTATTTAAAAGTGATGTTTGAAAGTGCAAGCAGTGTGAGTTCTTTGGGTCTCATTTGCTTCCTTTGATGATGCTGCTACAGTCACCTTGCTTTAGGAAAGATGATCTTTCCACAGACTTCAGTGCACTACTTTTTTAGTTTTGGGTTCAGATTAGGCTTTTCATAATTACTAGCTACTCTCTGTTGTAATACAAAACACCCATAGTCCTAATGCACTTTCTAGTGCAAGTGCAAACAAAATCATGTGGACAGTATCAGATAGAAAATTGTTCAGCAGTTTTTAAATTACGCATTGTCTCACACAGAGAATAAGAAAGGTTGTAGCTGGAACATGTCTTGGTTTAGAGGAAGGATACCTGCCTTTATAAATGCAAAGACTGATGTCTTTATTAGACCAGGGAGGGGGGGAAGAAGATTGTATCATTTGCCTTTACAGATTAAGGGGAAGGGGTGTGTCTATCTTCAAATCCTTGGAGGCTGCTCTGAGAAGAGGGATGATCAAGGGATGAAACAGTGTTTCCCACTGTAGAAATATTTAGTTCCAGAAAGGAGGTGATGAAAAGAATAAACTCAGTAGAGTGAGGAACCTTCTTTTATTGTCTGAACCCCAGTCACATTTATACTTTGTTACAGTTTAGAAAGCAGTAGCAGAGAGGGAAGTTTTAGCAGAAACTCAAGTGTTGAGTAGTTTTGAGTTTAAAGTTGGTTAAAAATAGTGAAAAAAAAAAAATCAATATTCTGGGTATGATGACCATATTCTCAAGACCAGCATGCTTATAAAAGTAAGCTAATGGGACTGAGTGCTTTTAAATTGGTGGAAAGCAGGTCATGGTGAAAGCAAAGGCTGGCATTGTTTCTATGCTATTATCAGTTTCCATGCTAACAGAAGACAATCGTAAAGCAGGAATCTGGGAATCTGTAAATCTTTCAGTGATTCTTAGTAGAACAGTTGATGTAAAAAATATCTTTCTCACTTTTCAATAACTTTCAATGGGAACAAAGAATGAAGGGGGAAAGCAGCAAGCCAATGAAGATTTGCTCTGGCTCATATGAGGACGTATTTGATGCCAAAAAGTATCTGTGCAGCAGCATACTAGTTTCAGTTGACTAACACCTTTGACTCCTAAAATATGTATTCTAAAACATGCATAGTCTTGTTTAAAAGATACTGATATATTTAAGCTATAAACTTTAATAGAAACCCACTGCAAACAACCAAAACTTTCCCAAACTTATATTTTCCTTACAGAGGAAGGTACCAGCTACAGAATAAGTAAGAATGTCTTCCGCTGTAAGTATACAGGAAGGTAAACAGTCTTTTAAGATACTGGGAAAAATTTGTCTCTTTAGTAAACAGAATCTACAGTAAATGTGAGAGAGGGCTGAAATACAGGTTAAAAATGACATATGACAAATTAGAATGTGTTATCTTCTTTACACCTAGTTTTTCCATGAAGGAAAAGATCTTCCAAACTTAAGGGAAAGGCTTTCTGCTTAACATTTTTAAAGGGC